GGCACTGGGAGGGATAGCAGGCGTCCCCGGGGCCCAAGAAAGTCCAGTGAGGATCAGATCATAAGAGATCCTCACAGATGCCAGCTTGTTCATGGAGGGGACATAGACTACAACCACAATCCCCCTGGCATGAACATAGGCATCTTGACGGGGCACCGAGCTGCTCCATCTGTCCCAGAGAATCAAGCCCTGTGTTCATAGCAGAGAATGGAGCTTAACTAACACGCCTATTCTGAGACACATCGGATTCCATCCCTCTGTCTTACATGGCAGAATGCCAGTTTAGCACCAGGCCTGACAGACAGACCGTGACCGAGGGCGATGCCCTATGCTTCTTGTTCACAAGAATCTGCTAACAAGTTCACAGAGCAGTGAGGATTTGTTCGCTATTGATGGTGCTTAATACATCTTTGTTAAATTGCAAATGGGATAATGACGAAAAGCAATGTTTTATTAAACAATTAAAGGAATTTTCATGCAAAAATTTAAAAACTATCATATTATATGTCTTTATACAACAGTTCTTTCTGGTCCTCAAATCTGATTGGCTGAGAGCCTTTTCCAGGAGTGCGATATTCCAGTGATATCGCAACTCTGACTGTTTCACTGTTTGTATCACTCCGTATGTGGTATTTCTCAGCAGCGAGTCTCATGGCAGACGCCCAAATCCACTATAATTTTATAAATAATACTGTTTTTGTGTCACAGACAGGGGCGGTTCTAGGGGGGCCGGGGTGGTTGGGGGGCAGTGCCCCCGTGTCAACAAGCTTGGCCTCCCTTCTGGCCCCCCTAAATTTGGAATCGTATCACACCAAACTATTTTGGGTTCAATGCGCAGTTTGTCCTGTGGGTGGCAGTAATGGAAAAAAGTAAAACCTCACCAGCTGCTAAATTCAAATCTGCCACGAAACCAATCACACACGATTCTGTTGAGTATCGGATATCGGCAAAAATCGAATATTGTGCATCCCTAAGTAATACAATAAGTTTTCAATCAAGCAACTCAATGTTCCTTCGTTACTAGTTCTAAAGTGATCTAAAGTGACGTTTTCGAATTAGTAATGGAGGCTTGAGCTCAGCTGTTAAACTGAGATTTGAATCCGTGGCGGAGGGAAGTGGTTCCTCACAAAAGAGGCTTTTTAAAAACACTCCGTTGTTGTTTCTTATGTATTTACTCGTGCAGTTGAACTGTTGTATAAACACAATATCACACTCATAGCCGTGCAATATATTGTCATATATATTGTTCTTTTGTTGAGCAATATTTTTGAACAATATCTGTTCATGAGAGTAGCAGTGTCTGATACATGAATGATTTCTTTTGAGTCTTTTCAATTAATGTAGTTCATGAAAACTATCTAAATCATTCATTTTGAATCAGAATGATCTTGAAGTGAAGTTAAAACCCATATTGGCACAATAAACTGTATGGGTATATGTACAGACAACACACATATACTTTTCAACTCCATCCAGGCAGGCAGGATGGATCATGCCTCGGCTTGGAATGCAAAGGTAACATGTTCCTTTTTCCAGCCTGAGGTAACAAGTGTGTAACACCATTTACCACCCAGAAGCCCTGGGCTGTTTTTTTTTTTTGATGTCGCTGTCAAAAATGACCTCAGTTTTAAGGTAGCTTTGAAGGAATATTTCCATAATTACTGTGGGAACATTTGAGTGTTTTCAAAATGATGTGGCCTTGACAGTTTCCCAAAGAACAGATGATTAACTATCTCTGTTACAACATCTTGGCCAACTAGAGACGAGTAAGGAAAAAAATGAACTCAGGCCATAGGGTCAGTTTAGGACCTGTTTCCAACTGAAATGTCAGGTGGAGTACTTTTCACATTCCCTACTGTATGTGAATGAAGTGAGGTGCGCTGATCTGTATTATTCTCTTAGTTTTGGTGTAGTTATGTATAAATACATATTTCCAAAAGTAACTTGTTTTTCCTGAATGACCAATTGCCTAATAGGTATGTTTTTTAATATTTTTGAAAGTCTTTCACCAAGGCTGCATTTATTTGATCCAAAATATAGTAAAACAGTAATATTGTGAACAATCATTACAATTTAAAATAACTGTTTTATGTTTTAATATATTTTAAAATGAAATTTATTCCTGTGATGCAAAACTGAATTTTCAGCAACCATTACTCGAGTTTTTAGTGTCACATGATCCAGTCATTCTAAAATGTTTCAAGTCTGTGTTGAAAGAATCGTTGTTTACTACTAGATACTAATGCCATCTGCTTTTTAAAAACATTTTCCTTTACACCTGTGTGCATATGCATGAGAGTTAGAGAGTATTTGGACTAAATCATCAAGTGTTCATAGAAAAAGCAACAGGATGCAGTCGTTTTAAGCATCTTGCTAACACAGTGAAACAGAACATTAGGCCTCTGGGTGCATGAAAGAGAGGAAATGAAAGGTGGGCTTTTTTCATCTTCTTTCACTGTACAACATTTATATGTTTAAATTAATCACATATCGTATAGCGCTAATGTTCTCTTTGTCTGACCTGCATAGACATCTGTGTAATTGTTTAGTCATAGTTCTACATGCTGCCGTGACTCCACGGTGGGCAAATGTAGCGCAGCGTTGCAGATCCCTGTCACGCCTGTGGGTGTAGTGTGACCTTTGCCCTCTTTCGTCGGTGCTGTGGCTGGCGAGCTCCTTGTGGACTCGCATGGAGTCGCATTCATTATGCCTCAGGGCTTAATTAGCTGTTTAACGCAGCCGAGTGGAGAGCAAGCTGTTACTACTCACCACAGGAGGAGATGTCTCCCCTGACATGTACATTAACGCATGCTTTTCTTTTCTTTGCTTTTCTCTTTTCTTTTCTTTTGTTCTTTGACACACTTTCTCTCCTTTCTAGTCAGCTGTTTTTAGCCCTAAAAGCCCCATTGTATCATATTTGATACACAAATTTCTATGGTCTCTAAAATCTACATGCTTTCTGTCATCTGATTGATAGTTTATACTGATTTTAGCAAGTAAATGCTTCTTACTATCATTGTAAAACTGTCCACCTTTAGGTCATGGTACACATGTCTTTCTGCTGTGAAATCTTTACTGATTTTTATAAAGTAAACATAAGAATAACTTATATTGATAGTAATATTTCAAAATGAACATTTACTGGACTGAAACAACTTAGGTTTACTTGATTATCCAAACAGCATTTATACTACAACTACAGAGCTTCGATAATAAAACAAAGCATTTAAATATAATTTTACTAAGACATATTATTGGGAGATATAGTGTGACAACTGATATTTATATGCATTTTCTGTAAGACTGCTTACTGTTATAAAGATCTCATTGACTTACATTACAAGCTATCAGGATTTCATCTTACTTTTTAATGTGAATATCAGGAACTGCACCAAGCTGCACATTTTTGCACAGTAAGTGGTTTTTCCTCCTTAATTATGAGCTCCATATTCTCATGTATCATACTATATGAGGTATCAAATATGGCACTCAACAAAAACACATATGCAATACTTTTCTTTCTTTTTTTTCAATTTCAATTTTGTCTAAAGATTGAATAAACTCTTCTATTTAAAAAAAAAAAAAACTCACTAAACTGATAATTACATGATTAGTTTTATCATTTCTGTTTAAAAACTGTTTCTAGGGTGCAGGTGAGTGTCTGTGCAGACCTGCAGCATTAATCCTATCAGTTTCGTCTGGTTTTCGACTAGACAAACAGATACACAGTGCATGACTGATTTCATATTGACAGTCTTTGTAACAGCTTGTCATTGTTACAGCTGCAGATCAATCGCACATTTCATGTACAAATCAGTCCAGCTGACGGCCCAGTTTGACACAAACAGCATAGGTCAACACAAGCCTGATAGCTTTATGCATATTGCTTAGTTTATATATTTCAGTGATCAAATAACCTTTAGATTGAAAGTAGCTGATAACAGTAAGAATGATAGACTTTTGACCTATTCAAGTATTACCTTTAGTTAAAGCACCTTTGGCAGTGATTACAACCTCTGATCATTTTACGTATGATACGACAAGCTTTACGCACCTGGATTCAAACACCAAATCCATGTGGGGGAAAAAGAAAAGGTCTGAAAACTTTCTGAATCCACTGTGTATAAATTAATTAAATGATAGTATACTGTATAATAGATTGTGCATAAAATAATCGATCATACTGTCAGATGCAAAAAGGCCTGTGGACCACGTAAAACAAAATCAATAAGTAAGCTTCTTGTTACTGTAACCAAGGCATTTGGTAAGGATAGTCTTCTTCACGTTTCATTAAGAAATATTTTACTTCTTAGAACAATTTTCTTTAAAAAAAATGCAAATGCTCTTGTACTGCCACTCAGACAAATGTGATCTTTATTGAGGTAGAATTTCTGCACTGTTACCCTGTCAGTTCTGTAACGCTTGGTAATAAAACAGATCACAGAACAGCCGCCAGTTTGGAACACTCTAATGAAGTGCAAAGCACCTGCCTGAAGGGAATCTCACTTCTAGAGTTTGTTTCCAGGGAAACAATAGATTGCAGAATGCTGGTATCATTATTTGTTGGTTGAATAGAGTCTACTGAGCAACTCAGCAGAGTAAAGTGAAATGAGAGACAGAAATATGCTTAAAGGTGATGTGAATAACGCTTTTTCCATAGAATTTTTTCATGATCTTAGGCATGACGCAAAGTGCAGACAGCACCAAAACAAAACAAAAAATTAAACAAATGTTTGTTTACAGAAGGTTTTTGAAATTTAAAGTTAAAACTACCCATTTTACAATACTCTCTTCTATTCCAGTTTAAATGGATTGTGCCGAAAAAGTTAAAATGCTGTATCTCTGTCAAAACATTGCTTGTTTGTTTGAGAATCCTGAGCAGCTCAACCAATGCCGTGAGTTTGGGCGGGACTTTTTGTTTGAACAACCAATGGCAGATGGGAAGAGTGTGAACCTGTCATTATGTTGCTGCGGAAATTACACACTTAACCTTAATCACTCATGTGGACTGAAGTTTTTGACTCCAGTCATAAAAACCAGTCTCAACCCTTATCTGATCTGAAAAATCAGAAAGATCTGGAGACGGAGGAAGAAAATGGTGTAAAGTTCATAACCTCATTCAAGATCTCTGAGTGAAGTTGCAGAAATGTGACAATTTATGTGTTGACGTAAGTGCTGTCTCTTTAATATTCAAGTATGAAGAAGTTGCATGATGTAATAATGCCCAAACCTGGAGTAACCGTTTACTTTAATGACTTGGTTTCCAGTCAATGGGGCGGCAACAGTGGAGATGAGAGCGGATCTGTGTTTAGAGAGCTGGAGGTCTGTATATGACAACCTTGTGACTACAAGATCCTTCTCAACTTTTGTTTGTATATGTGTCCATGTGCTGGAGGGGAGTGTATGTGTCCCTCTGATCCAAACACTCCAAATCAATGCATTGTTATGTGTGTTTTAAAGAGCTGCAAGAATAACAACACTTTAAACCTTAAACTTAGCTGTTTAGAGGTGTTTTAGGCACTGGGAGACCACCTGGCTGACCAGTGAAACTACTGTAGCTTAACACAAGGAGACTAACGGCTTACTAACAAAACAACTTGTTTAAGCTGTTTTGCTATCTCTATTTGCAAGCTTTAGTTTTTGTGTTTCACTTCTGAAAGTTCAACATCCAAACATAAAACAGATATTTAAAGTGGTATGTTTATTTTATTTAGTTTTTATTTATTTGTGTGCGTGCGTGTGTGTGCTTAATTGCAAGCAAATTTGACATTTGAAAGTTCTTTTTTTTATGTGGGCAAATGTCCCAACATAGCAACATGCTAGGACATATATGAGCTACACTAAATAAAGGTGCATGTCTTGACTTTTTAATGAGGCATAATTGTATTTACACAAGAATCACGGTTGAGGGAAGCAATCTATCACGTACCCGATTGTTACATTTTTGACGGCCGCACCTGTGAGCTTCAGGGCAAAGCAAACCCACCGCTGCTCTGCGGCAACACCCGTATTCTTTTATTTTATCTGCTACAAATAACAAGCTAAACTGGATTCCACTAAGACTGATTGATTTCTGTTTTCCAGCAGTATTTTTAAGTTTTTAAAATGCAAATCTTGAGAAACAAAATGTTATTGCGCTCCGTCACAGATAATTATGACACACTCTATAACATCAACATTCATCATGCAATTGCAATTTACAATATCTACAATGTATCTGTCAGCAAATAACTTAAATACATAGAAAAGTAAAGTGTTGTATACTTCAAAAAAATAAATAAAGTATGCTATTGTTACAATTCGCTGAGGCACAGGCACGAGGAGACGTGTAGATTTCACAGAACGAGAGTCTTTTAATGACCAAAAGGGAGACACAGAGCACAAGGATGATGTTCACAACAAGTAGACCAGACAAAAACAAACTGAACAGACTGGGGCTTATAAACACAGGGCAATCAGGGGAACACAGGTGCATGGAATCAAAAAGTAATCAAACTAAACTAAACAAGAACAGGAAAAAGACCATAAAAGGAAACACAGGAAGAACTACGGAGGCAAAATGGGTCCAAAAGTCTGTCAGCTATATACTTAAAAATTAATTATTAAGGTTCATTAAAGGTATTATTAAAAGTAATCTAACTATGTAACATGCATTACTTGCGGTTATGAATAATACGGAGCCCCTAAGGCAGTGATCCTCAAATCTGGCTCGCGAGATCCACTTTCCTGCAGAGTTTAGCTCTGCCCTAATCAAACACACCTGAGTTTGCTAATCAATGTCTTCAGGATCATTAGAAAATCACAGGTAGGTTTGTTTGATTATAGGGTTGGAGCTAAACCCTGCAGGAAAGTGGATCTCGCGAGCCAGATTTGAGGATCACTGCCCTAAGGGGACATGGTGTGAGATGAGAGGAAAAACACGTACCTTCTCTTGCAAAACTACAGTGTTCCCCTGAGAAACTTTGCGTTCATTTGTAAAACGTGCGTTCTCTCGAAAACTACTGTATTGTCCTGAGAAACTTTGTGTTTGTTCGCAAAACATTTGCGTTCTCTTGCAAAATTACTGTGTTCCTCTGAGAAACTTTGCGTTCGCTAGCAAAAGCAAAGTTTTTTCATTAACACCACTAATTATTTCCATTGCAGAAGTTTTGTTTGAGAAAGTTTATATTTGTTCGCAAAACACGTGCATTCTTTTGCAAAACTACTGTTTCCCCAAGAAACTTCTTGCATTCTCACGTAAACATTTGCGTTGTCTTGCAAAAGTATTGCGCTCCCCGAGAAACTTTGTTGTTTGTTAGCAAAACATGCACTCTCTCTCAATAATATTGAGTTCCGTTCAGAAACGTAGCGTTTATGTGCAAAGTGTTCTCGCGCAAAACTATTGCATTTCCCTGAGAAATTTTGTGTTTGCGTGCAGTTTTTCCTCACACGTACATTATTTCCATCAAAAAAGTTTTGCAAGAGAACGCAAAATATCATTTTCCTTCTTGTAGGTATTATAACCTGCTTTTATTTGCAATGCTTAAGATTACAGCACTCAGTGAAAGGGCATGAATACCGACACCCACAATGTTGTGATGGGAACAGTAAATCCCTCAGCGGTGCCTCACCCGAGAATCAAACAGGCAAGATGCCAGTTCCCAACGGCGGGCACATGGGAACACATTTGAAGCCTGAATTGTTGACAGCCAACCACACCTTCATTTGTGAAGGACATGGTCCTGCGAGAGCCATTAGCCTCCAGGAGGAGAAAGACAATGGCTGTGACAGCGCACTGCTGGGATCCAAGAATTCAATAGTATTCTAATATGAGTTGAATGTGATTGTACAGTGTAGTATGACAGATAGGCATGAAAAGGTAAACGAAGCCGAGCTATGCTGTCTCCAGTCATCAGACTGTCAGCGGAACTGAAGAGAAGCGCATAACTGCTATTAAATCACTTTCTGTCATGCTGTATGTGTGTGTGTGTGGAGACAGCAAGATAGAGTCTCTATTTCCAGGTGTCACAGACATGAAGCTAATGGAGTGACATGTGCATGTGCATGTGAATGAGCATATAGGGTGACTAGAGGCAGTCGTGGCCTAATGGTTAGAGAGTCGGACTTGTAACCCAAAGGTTGTGGGTTTGAGTCTCGGTACCGGCAGGGATTGTAGGTGGAGGGAGTGAATGACCAGCACTCTCTTCCACCCTCAATACCACGACTGAGGTGAGACCCTTGAGCAAGGCACCTGAACGACCAACTGCTCCCTGGGTGCTGCAGCAATATGGCTGCAGCCACTGCTCTGGGTGTGTGTGTTCACTACTCACTGCTGTGTGTGTGCACTACTCACTGCTGTGTGTGTGCACTACTCACTGCTGTGTGTGTGCACTTGGATGGGGTTAAATGCGGAACACAAATTACGAGTATGAGACACCATACTTGGCTACACATCACGTCACTCACTTTTTTTTTTTTAGCCGTTCTGATATAATCAGGACAGTCCTGAGTTGCCTGCCGTTCCTGATAATTAGTCTTAGCTTTAATTTGATTGTTGTGAATAAATGTATTAAACTGATGTCACTGTGATTCATGCTTTTTCTCTCATGAGAAACCAGCAGCAGCGTGATGTGGAGCCTTAAATAACAAGAGTGGGTGGGTTATGTAGTATTTTGACCCATTAATAGAATGGTAAGACACATAAACAACTACATCTGTTTCTTTTTCCTCACAATGCTGAGAGGTAAGTTGACAACATCAAGTTTGCACATGAATAATGTGATTCAAATGATTTTTTTTTCCTGTGGACACTATTTTATTTGCTGCCATTTGACAAAGTAATCAAATATCAAAACAATTGCTTTTTTTTTTTGCAAAACCATTAGCACTCTTTTCTTAGCATTTCTTAGCATTACAGGGTTGTTTTAATGTGTTTCTGTATTTTTCATGTTTATGATATTCTGGAATGACTGAAAATCAGCGCAGAATTAATCAATCTTGTGGATGGACTGCAGCAAGTCCTTTTGCAGTTGTATCCATCAAAGTGCTATGCAGACATAATGGGATTAAATTGTAAGTAAATTTGTAAACTGTCACATCTTGGACAAAGTTGTAAGTACATACTTTATACGTGCACATATTTATTGGACTCTGTAAGCTTTAAGATTGTAAGGCCCATTTTTATTAAAGCACACAGGTTCTGAGCAGGGATTCATCAAGGACATGACTGATGGAATTATAGCTGTGGGTGGCCAAAGTGAGCACCATCAATCTGCAGTGGTGTGGTCTTGGTAATAGAAGAAGAAATCTTGGTGATCTGGGGTTGTGTCATGTTGTGGGGTTGTGTACTGTGTTAGACTATCTGGGACTTGTCACAGCACTTAAAGGCAAAATTGCTTGATTTTCATTTTTGCTTTATGTTTTAATGTTTTCATTCAAGCAGTTTCACATTCATCTACATTTACATATATACTTTTCAGACAGTGCAGTGTTAATATGTGAATGTTTTAATAAATATGAATGTTTAAATTATAGTTTATTTGTGCTCTCTGTTATGCCAGGATAATTAGTTAACAAAAAGCTTTTGTAATGTTAACTTGTGTTGAAGTTTATGTAACTCACAATTTTAAGTCAACCATGTAAACGTTTTAGGTAATTGTTTTAACACACTATATGTAGTTGAGTGGGCTTAAATTTGATAGTTTACTTAATCCTCTTACTTGAATAAGTTGATACAATATTTAATCCAAAGTTATGACAACAAAAAATACATTAAGTTAAAAAATAATCTTTAATTCTTAGAACAAAATATTAGTTGAAACAACAAAATCACTATCTTTGTAATAACTTAAATTCTTAGTTTCAACGAACTCAAAATTTTAAGGCAGCCATGCAAGGTACTTTTTGAAGTTAACCCAACAAATCAGTTTTTAGTTCTTTCACAGAAGGAAGTGATTTTTTAAGACACATTTCAGTAATATCTGTCAGATAAAAGGGACAATAAAAAATAACAGCTGCTGTAGATGATGCGATTGAGACTGTGGGACTAGTCATTGTCCCAAGCATCTCAGCCAGTCAGACTGAACCTGCTAGCCTCTGCTTATCACTTAAAGGCAGCTGATAATTTAAGCATCATCGCTTACAGATGGTCGCCATGCTGCCATCTGAAAGAACGATTCAGATCTGCACCTCTACTGCAGCTGTCAGTCACCATAGCTGAGGCATTCGTGGCCAAGTGGAAATTGATTTATGATTGAGGGTTATTAGAGAGAGTCTCTCACACTTTCAGGAAGAAGGAGGGCAGGAAAAGGCAGATGCAGGGGTTGGATGTATGGGTGTGGGTGTGTGTGTGTGTGTGTGTGTGTGTGTGTGTGTGTGTGTGTACGTGTATGTGTGTACGTGTACGTGTGTGCACGTTGAGGGGTGACTTGGGGGTGGGGTCAGGATTTGAGAAATGTCTGGAGTCTGGTCATTATTCACAGCTGTCATTTAGAACTGACATGATGAATGGGAAATATTTCAATCGGTCATGGAGTCGGCTATAGTTGTATTGAACTATATTGTGGCCTTGAGTAAGACACTTAACCCCAAGTTCCTCTAAGGGGACTGTTCCTATAATAAGTGTAATGTCATATGCTTTGGATACAAATATTTGACTATTATTCCAAGTTCAAATGAAAAAATGATTTTATATATGCACATCAGTGCATGTTATACTGTAGTATTATAGTATACTGTACTGTACTGATTGACCTGTCAAAACGAAAAATACACCTTTTAAAACTGTCTTCCAAAATATCCAGATCTGTTAAAGTAAACAACTGTAAATATCTCTGTCAGCATTTGATTTAAGAGTCACATCTGAATGAACATGTTTGTTTGAGATGCAGACATTCTCATATGATCTAGTGAGGACAACAGACAGGTACAACTCTATCTGATGATGACTCCCTGAAGATCCGTGAGAAGAATAGAGGACCAGATACTACCACTGATCAAATATCTGACCCACATTCTCACAACGCCCTAGTCCATTTGCCTTTTCTGAGTAATGTATGTAGACGGCTATTGAATGCATACAAAAAAGAACATTATTAATGAACCCTTGTGAAAGACCCGAGATCACTGTATATCTAACAGTTCAGAGAGAAAGAGAGGAACTTGGTGATTATATATCCTCTGATTGTGTGTCTGAGGAAACTGAAGGCTTGAGACATAGCTGTTCTCACACAGTTTTTCAATATGTTTGATAACTATCATCTCTACAGGGAATTGTTTCATCATTATATAGATAACACATGTTTTGTGATCCATTGAACCACTATTGATAAACTGATAATTATTTTCATGTTATGTCTGAAAAGTGTGCTGTAAGAACAAAATCCACAGAAAAACAGATAATGCCCTGGCATGAAAATTACCTACTTTTTCCATTAAGGTTACGGACATTTCCTTCCACCCTAAACCAAAATACAGGTAAAATACAGTACCTGTGAATAAACCATATGGAAATTTCCTTCATATTAAGATGCTATATTAGTTTTTTATATATATATACTGTATATATATATATATATATATTTATATAAATTCTGGCCGATACCAGTAAGGTGACAATCATATTCACGTAATGGCCAATAAGCGATAAATGACAGATACTGAAATGAAAATTTATACTATTTTCTCAAAATAAGTAATTAAAAAATAATAATAATGGGAATACGCTTCATTTTTAACCATACATTTTACAGCCACTTTTCACTCTCATTTATTGATGTCACACAAACTCATTTGCATAAGAAGAGTCAAGCTCAGTTTTTCAGAGCAGCAGGAAATTAGATGGTACGTCAGACACTTCCAAACTCTCTGTGGATGTCATGCACAAGTCACTGAGGCAGAAAAATCAGATCATTTAATAAGATCAGGTGTTTAGGTATATGATTAGATGTTTTTATGGTTAGGAATCAGGAAATGAAAAAGACTGCCATTAATGAGGCATGCTAATATTTTCCCTTCAACTGTACAAACACAAACACACACAGACACACACACAGCAGACAGGTATCTTCCTCACCCACCACCATCTCAGAAGAGACATTAATCACTAAACACTCACCCCAAGTTCTGTCTGACAGTATAAACACACTCAACCCAGCTACATTCAAATCCACTCAACAACCAGACGATCTAGTTTGTGTGTGACATCAAGGACTGTAACAACCATAGACACTGAGGAGTACATGTTTCCCTTAGTTTTCCTTTAAGTAGAGTCAGAAATATCATAATTACAGGTTATATACATGACCAAAGCAAAACCATATATTTACCAGTGGGAATTCTCAATGATACTTGAGTTGAGTTGTGATGTTCAAGGGGTGTCTGTAAGATGGCAGACAGTAGATGGTAGTGTTTTTGCTAAGATATTTCAATTACATTACTACTATTATTGCTCATTACATTCTACTAATGCTAGTGACTTATTCTTTGTGCAAAGTAATGAATTATTTGTAACTCAAAACTTGTTTTTATTTTGTTTCCAAATCAATTTTCATTAAGTTTTCGTTAATTTAAAATAAAGCTAAAATAAAATGGGAGAGTTCACCTTCAGTTGCTGGTCCCCATTGACTTCCATTTAGGGCTGCACGACTAATCGAATGCGACTGTCATGCGCATCCTGTCAGTTAAGCCGGTTCTGTGATCAGTAGTAAATCTCCATCACGTGCTTTCAGATGGACCAGCATTTACTACACAGATCCGTAGTTCACTGACAAGCTACGCAAAATCGCGTTCATAATCGCAGACCGATTTAATAGCACGATGAAATTGAAGAAATCGTTCTGCAATTATGAAAGCTGTTTGCGTAGCTTGTCAGTGAACTACGGATCTGTGTAGTAAATGCTGTTCCATCTGAAAGCATGTGAAAATACCACATTTAATAACGTTTTTACTCCAAACTCACTTCATAACGTCAGTCAAGTGTTTGAAATGAATCCTTCTGTGAGATGATATGGCTTCTTACACAGAATAAAGCACGCAACATATTTCATAGTATTCTAAGCAGTGATAAAGGCAATTAGCATTGCATTATTATATACTTTATTATAATAAAAAATATAATAAGACGAACTCAGATAAGACACATATTGTCGTAGTCGTGTGCTTATTAGTCACGTTGAATCAATGAAAGCAGTTAAATCTTCTGTTTATTCAGTAACCGCTATAGGCATTTCCTGATTTCTTCTGCGGGTTGTATTTGGAGTTTCCGCGCAAGAGCACCCTCTGGCCTTCGGATGGAGATTTACTACTGATCACAGAAGAAATTTTAAATATAAAATTAATAGAAATATTAAAAAAACAAAAATTACTTAAAAATTAAAATGAATGCTTCATGGTACTGTTATTCATTTCTTCATGAAAGCTATTTGATTTTCATATACTTTATTTCAAATCTTGGCACTGGCTAGTTTGGTTTATGGCTTGGAATTTTTATTGACTGAATATTTTGAAATCCCTATGGAGAAAAATGAATGGGAAGAATACGTGAGTCACTGCAATTCTTAAGATTTAAATGTGCCGCCCCCGATTTTAAATATTTGGTACATTCTTTGTGTCTGTTTGTTTGAGAGGCCATTTATTCACTTATATGACCATCTCTCTCATGCACAGAGAAGCAGTCTACCTTTTGATTCGATGCCCACATGTTCATGTAGGAGTATGACATTGTTATCTATGTGCTTAACTTTACATATTCAAACATCAAGTGTTCATTGCAGGAGCAGAGCACCACTTGTTCGTGATAGAGGGATGACTTTGTCTGTCTTTCCTGCTCTCAGTAAAGCAGGGAGGGCCGGGACTCGGTTTGAGAACCCACTCTCCCTCTCTCACCCTTTTTGATGTCTGTCTGTCTGTCTCTCTCTCTCTGCCTTGCTGTCTTATGCACATGAAGTCCCACAGGCACTTATATCCACTCATATGGTGGGTGTAGTTGAATTTTGGCCATTTTGGAGTAAATTTTTAAATGCAAAGAGGTGGTGACTCGCCCCTGCCCTCCTCCACGGTTCTCTGGGCGTGTGTGGGATGGACAGTCACGTCTTTAAAGACCCTGCATTGCAAGAGGGGAGTGTGATGATGCTGTCATAGTTCTTGTTCCCACACGCAGGGCTGTAGTTAGGAATTCTGGGACCCCTGAATGTATATTAAGCTGCACTCCTTACTTAATTTTCAACTAAATGTAAGGAGGGAATGTGGCCGGATGCACAGCATGTTTGCTCTTTGTACTGATACAAGATAAATAATGAATTATTAAATATGAATATTATATTACATGTAAAGATTAAAACTTCTTGGATCACACAAAGCACAATTTTTTAAAGACCCTGCATTGCAGAGGGGAGTGTGATGATGCTGTCATAGTTCTTGTTCCCACACGCAGGACTGTAGTTAGGAATTCTGGGACCCCTGAATGTATATTAAGTTGCACTCCTTACTTAATTTTCAACTAAATGTAAGGAGGGAATGTGGCCGGATGCACAGCATGTTTGCTCTTTGTACTGATACAAGATAAATAATGAATTATTAAATATGAATATTATATTACATGTAAAGATTAAAACTTCTTGGATCACACAAAGCACAATTTTAATAAATAAAATTAAATGTTGCAATCAATACATTTGCGTCATAAAATGATTAATTCAATTAAACAAAAAACATAATTTAAATTAAATTAATCCTTTTATTGAACTGATGTAGGATTCAATATACTTTACATCAAAATATGTCATTAAAATGTAATTTTTCTTTAATAATTGTAATTATATAATTTGATATAAAATATATTGAATCCTACATCAATCCCACTGGAATTGTTGTTTGCAAGACTACACAGCTATACAACACTCTAAGCACAAAAAGGGCATATATCTCTATTGATCAAGGAAACAGATGCCAGAACATTATCTATGTTGATGAACATAATTCTCAACACTCTGCATGACCTAGTCATGGATCAAAAATGTCTCTCTGACAGCTCTGTGGCACCGACTGGCTAAGCCTGCATTATTTATATCCTCGAGTCATGCATAGGATGGGGTCAATTAATAGATATGTCTATTGATAACAACTCTGGGGATTGAAAGACAATGCTTATTGATTACCCATACCTGTCACTCATTGGCTCTAGAGCCAATTTATCAGTTTGTTATAAAGTCGCCATGATCCCAATCCATTGTGTTCATTGACTAACTGACTCAAGCTTTAAAACAAATGTCCTGTCACATGCTGTGAAGAGGACGTGTAGTGAAGGATGCTTGGCTTGTTCTGTTATAATAAGACTGTCACAGTATGCTTGATTGCATTTAGGAACCTTAATTTTTCTTGTTCATTGTTGTAATGAGAATTACTGGTGCAAATGTTTATTGTTTTATAAATACAAAGCAGTCATTGTAGTTTTTTAAATAAACTGGGACCATTCACACAGAACACGCTGAAAAATGCAAGACACGGGCAGTGGAATGGGGATAGACGCAAGTCTCGAGACATGTTTTTTAAAAAGTTGAACTTATTTTAATGTTTTTAGAATGCAGTGTCATGCACAAGATGCTGCAAAAGATGCAAGACATGAATACAATGGTACACCTCTGTCTAGAGCATGTTTCATAGAAAAACAATGGCAAAGTATTGCAGTGGAATGGAAAAACGCGTTCTGTGTGAACCAGCCCGAAGTATGTGTGTTTAATGCTTTATTGTAAAAGATACCAAGCACAATGTAATGTTAGAAAGCATTTAATCTCCAAGAGCCAGACTTTTGGCATAAAGTCTGTTTCAACCACAGTTGGACATCTGAGAACAAAGCAAATTATAAAGGCATGTTCAAGCTCTCAGATCTCTTGAATATCTTACTATTTTCAGTGGCATGTATACTTCACAAATTTTGGCAAATCCAGCAATTAGTTCTTCCTTGGAAGTGCTCATTTTATCAACCTAGTACCTTGTAAACATGACTTTGTTGTTGATAAAGTGCTAAAAACAGATTTGAATCTAAGAAATAGCATTTAAGTCCTCCAATCAGATTAGAACTGACAACTGAGTTGGATTTCAGTCAGCGTTTGCCATTTTTGTTTGCGATATGCATCATATGGTCAGTGAATGATGCACTGGCAGTCTGTTTACATGCCGTCTGAGGCTGATACTAGAAAGCATTCTTAAGTTCTTCGTATAGCTTACTTTATGGGCAGGGGCGTCGTGACTCATGCAACTATTTTTTGAGTGTGAATTGGCAAGATAAGACATGACCGGAGGACAAAAACACTAACTTTTTAAGTACTGTACTGAACAGTTCTGAATCTTTTATGTAAGGTTGGGTTCAAATTCGAAGCTACAGTAACATACAGGTCTATTTAATAAACACAGAAGAGAAGTAAAAACATTCACACTAATATTGATTGTAAAAAATAGAAAAAAAAATGTATCCAAGGTTTTGGTCATCTGAAGTTTGTCAGGCATTTAAAACAAAATGTGCAGATCCAACTGATTCAAAATAACTCCTAACAGACTTATATTGATCTATCAGCATAAACAATAACAAATGTATTTGTATATGGATAGCATAAACAATGACAAATTGTATATGCTGTTAGATAAATAAAAACTTTTTCTGAATGCCTGAAGAAGGTTGGATGACCGAATAATGAATATTGTATGTCTTTGCAAGCTGTGGTGTGCAAGATTTTTCTTCTCTGTTTATTAGTCGATATCTTATGCTCCTACTAATTTTGGGTGTGTGAGAGATTTCTGTTAACTAGTTTTTAATAAATGATTCATAACTGAACTTGCATAGTCAGTGATCACAGCAGATTTTCATAGTATGAAAAAGCAGGTTTGACATTTTGTATTACAGGTTAAAAAACACTTTTTTGCAAGGGTGTAGATGACAGATTTGTTGGTTTAAAACAACTGGAATTTATACATGTGAATGTGTGACTTCTGCAACAGTGTTTTAGACAAAAAATAATTACTGACTTTTCAGTCAAGGATTCAAAGATTTTTGGGGGGCATTAATGTATTCAGCTCAAAATTCTGAGGTGGCGTGTACAGTATGAATGAGAATGATTATTCTGATAGTCTTTACAGACAGTAAACTTTACCGGAAACCCCTTTTCTGAATGCAAATGATATTTGAGAGATCCTGTCGGTATATCATGACTGCGTGTGTTCCTGGCACTGTGACAGTAATGAGGAACAGAGCTGGTTTCTATGGTTTCTGTGGAAAGCGGTTGAGGGCACAGACTGACACCGGTAATGATTACTGACACTCATCCAACCAGGAGAAGAACAGCAGCTGTGTGTGTGAGAGAGAGACAGACAGACAGCGTATCCTCAAGAGCAGTCGGAAAGTGTACGGAAGAGAGACACAGAGACAACCTGAGAGAAAGAGAGGGCGACAGGCAGACAGTGAGAAAGACGTGACAGTCAGAACTAATAGGTATACAACGTATATGTAACTGCTGTCAGACACTGTAGTACTGTGGCTAATGATGCGTACTGTCAGTCCATTATCCATTAGAAACCACACTTCCTGTCTTCAAATATACCGTATGCACACATGCTGACTTGGTAGCCTGGCAGGACAGTTACTGTTTTTCACAGGGTTAGCCTACCACATATGTGGCATTCTGTATATAGAGAGAGGAAAATAAACAAGACTGTATTGTGTGGAATAATGAATGGAGAAAGGACTGCATACCTGCTGAATGATTGACAGCTATGAGCAACCAACTGACCTGATATGTTTGTGGCTTCCACAGCTGCAGATCTCAATGGTAATGGTATACTGAACACTGTAAGACATACAGAGATATGTCATATATTTGCATTATGTTAGTATCAGAGCATGTGAGTGGAGCGGAGCGTGAGCGGAGCGGGGAGCGGAGTGGTAATATTTCCTTAAGAGCGCAGAGCGCCATTCTGAAGTTTCCGCTCCGCTCGCTCAATACGCTCAGCGCCACTCGCTCAACCCAGAATGCCGTTTGGTGATTTGCTTGTTCGAGATCGAGAATCTGTAGAGATCGAGAATAGTAGAGCAGTTATGGAGTTCAGATATTGTTTCAACGAAGTTGCAAGCCTTATACATAAATGTAAAGTAAAAATCAAAGTTAAGAATGAGCAGGGAATAGAGCGGAAAATGTAGCGGAGCGGCTTCGCTCACATGCTCTGGTTAGTATAGCCTTATATGTTATTTATTTAATTCAATTTTTTTTCGTCTGTGTGTGACTGTTAGTGTCCCAGGATAGAGCTGAAATTATTAATGATTATATATCGCTAACTAGACGTCAAAATTTCAGCATTCATAAAAAGAGCTCAACAGTTTGTCTATTTACATCAGATTTAGCTCACAAATAACTTACAGTTATGTAGTAACCTAAATATGATTCTCATTTACAATATACAGTACTAAAGTTCGGCATTAGTAACTTACTTTTCGAGTCATTCAAATCCGCAATTTCCAGTTCTGACGGTTATTACTCCCGGCTTTGGGCTCATTTTGAGTCAGACCCGTCGACTTCCGTGATTTGCTAACTCGAGACTCGTTCGGACCGGAACATTGAATTAGTGAGTTGTTGACTGCAAAAAGCTGTAATCGGATCAGTCCAGTTCGTTCAGTGCGCTTAGTGAAGCGATTCAATAAGTTCTTCGATAAGAATCAGTTCAAAATAATTATTCATTTACGAATCGCCCATCACTATGGCGCCACAGAGCAGAGGCAATTTCTTCAGTTTAAAGGGGTCATATGATGCGATTTCAATTTTTCCTTTCTCTTTGGAGTGTTACAAGCTCTTGGTGCATAAAGAAGATCTGTAAAGTTGCAAAGACTAAAGTCTCAAATCCAAAGAGATATTCTTTATAAAAGTTAAGAGTCAACCTCGCCTACCTAAAACAGCTGGTTCTAACACGCCCCCACATGTCTACTACGTCACGATGTGGGAAGATTTGCATAACGCCGCCCAAATGTTCACGCAAAGAAAGAAGGCGTAACTTTTATTCTCGCTGTAGTATTGTTTCTGCCGCCATGTCATGAAGGCGCTGTGTGTTTCGTTGTGAAAGCGAAACTA